AGGGAATTTGAAGGGTCTACACACATTAGTGTATTTAAGATCCAACAATCCTTTACCTCATTCACATACCCATGTGAATGGTGATTTAGTCTTCTTTCCAATTAAAAAGATTTGAATACATCATCCAACCCAAAGTTGAATTATTAGTCCAATTGGATCTAGGAAATGCAATCTTACTTTATGTGGATAAGGTAATTATGCCATAAGTGCGTTCTAATCTAAACTATTAGAGAAACCAATATTAAAGTTGTGCTTACTATTATTAGAGACACAAACTACAATTGCATGAATGTCAATTGAAGAAGAAGTTTTAGTGATAAAATAATCATCTTCATAAACTAGAATCATCACTTTTCCATTATCAAATGTTAATTAATATTCATGTTTATACAAAGCATAAAATTAAATTCTGGTTTCTAGACATTTCCAAAAGAGTAATAGCAAATAACTAGTTTATCCTAACTCCATTACTAAGTACAAGATCGAAATCCTCAATCATTGAGACATGTGACATCCATCCATTCCAATGATTAGGTTTGGCTCTCGATGATTAGCTTCCTTATTTCTTATAGATCCTACAATGCCATCCAAATGTGATTATCAGATCATGCATCAAGGAACCACAAATTGGATGTATTTGGAGTTTGATTATTCAAGTACTTGATGTAGAGTCAAACATATGACTTTATCATCTCCAAGTACTTAAGGAAACTTCGTTTCCTTTGATCATTGTGTTCACATTAACTGCAATTTGCCTCTTTTGAATCATGGTTGCATGGAATAGAAGACACACCAATTCCATTCCCTTATAATGGGAAGTTTCGGCCGAAACCGTTCCATTCCATTTAGGATTTGAACGTTCCCTCTTCTTTCCATTGACATTTAGAAAAGCAAAATCTAGAATTGGATAATAAAACTAATTCCTTTCTAGTTTACTTAGTTTATAAAAGGTTTAAGAATTCTGTTAATTTCATCTCAATATTGTTCATATGATAAACCAAGTGGAAGTTATCATAATAACTAATCAAAGATAAAAGCACAGGAACTATAACAAGAATCTTGTCAAGGGTAACATTAAGATTCTTGTGTTTGTCTATGTAGCTCTTATTGATTACATACAAAACTATTTTCTTCAATTCGAATGCAATTTGGAACTTTTGACACTTTTTAATTCATTTTTGCTTTGCTCTTTGGTGAAAGATTTCACTTAATTGCAAATTCATCTCATATGTTTACATGTTCACAAAATATCACTTTGGAACATTGAGGACATAGACATAATGATCCAAGAGACCTTTTTGACAAATCTACATGATTATGGGAATAACAACTTCTTTAAAGTTAATGCATTTTTTATTTGAGGGAGATACTGTGACATCCCTAAAATCACGGCCAGAAAAGACCGATTTTGTTTATGCTTTATAAAAATCAGAGTACTTCATTTTATAAAAAGGTTGCGGAATTTGTTCCCAGAAAAACACGATAAATACGTTATTAAAACATTTTCGAAGAAACGTATTTTTATTCATCTTAAAACGTTTGGGATGTCATCGTTAATACAGAAACATAAGCATAAACAGAACTTACAATTATTTACACTAGTGATCTACATCTCTTTAAATCTCTCAGTGTAATGTCACTTCATATCGCCACCTGTGATGTAAATAAACTGAGTGGGTCAGGTTGGGAAACCTGGTGAGTACATAGGGTTTTCAACCCACAATAATATAATTGTTATGTTCAATCATCAAACAATTAACCCAATTACCCATCCCCGTTATCTTCTTTACTCCTAAGAGTCATCTATTCTGCATTCGTTTATTCCAAAGTCCCTTACTTCCAGGGTTATAGGACTGGCACTAAATCCATAGCTGCCGATATTCGTTCGTAAAGCACTAATTCCATAGCTGCTATATCTTACTTATCGGGTACTAAATCCATAGCTACCAGTGCTCAACAGGTACTAAGTCCATAGCTACCAATTCCTACAGGTACTAAATCCATAGCTACCAGTGTCTAACTAATAGGTACTAAGTCCATAGCTACCAATTCCCAACAGGTACTAAATCCATAGCTACCAACGTCTAACAGGTACTAAGTCCATAGCTACCGGTGTTTGTCCCATAGGCACTAAGTCTATAGCTGCCAATGTATACTCACGTCATCTTCTATCTCTCATCATTCATCTACCCATCATCATACCCAACATATTCGTGTATATAAAATACGTATACAGTTTAAATCCTTTAAAACATGTATAAAACGTTCATCCAGCATAGACAACAAGTATTCAGATAATATGCACACATAGCACGTAGTTTATATAAAATACTTCATATCTATGTGTAAGATGAAAGGGACTATGCACTCACCTGATTAGGTGGTGATTCCGAACTCAGACAGCACTTCGTTATCTCAAAACAATTTTCCTCGACAAAACCTAGTATCAATACCACTAGGGTTTAGTTTTTAACGTTAACCACGACTAATTAATAGTCTAGCTATTATTACTATTATATAAGCGTTAAATAACACTCAATATAACTCATAATAATAGCCCAAATAATTATTTTAAGGTCCTAATAATGTTACTATAATTAAATAAAATCTATATTAAATATAGTATAGGCGTAGCTCACTTACAGCGAGTTTTATTAAAAACCGGGCTTCGCTGGAGCAGCGTTTCCAAGCCGAAAGCTTTTCTTCTCGGAGCCTCGGGCGCTCTGGGGCTTTCTTCTCGTGCTAGGGAGGTTCCGTAGACTTGGGAGGGGTTTAGGGAGGCTAGAGAGAAGTTAGAGAGAGAAAGAGAGGCTTATGGTGTGAAGAAAATATGAGGAGTTCACCCTTGTATTTATAGGAAGTGTATAGTAAAGTAGTCACCAAGCTTCGTCCGTAACTTTTGCATACGAGCTCCGTTTTTGTCTGTCTTTTTACCGTTGAGTTCCTATTAATGAGATCTTCAACTTTCATTTAGACCTCGTTGGCTAATTCTCATTCTATCTCGGATTTACAAAACTGTATCGAATTCGCCGCGCTCGAAAAGTAGGGACTAAGCTTCGTCCATAACTTTCGCATACGAGCCCCATTTTTGTCTGTCTTTTTACCGTTGAGTTCCTATTAATGAGATCTTCAACTCTCATTTAGACCTCGTTGGCTAATTCTCATTCTATCTCGGATTTACAAAACTGTATCGATTCGCCGCGCTCGAAAAGTAGGGACTAAGCTTCGTCCATATCTTTCGCATACGAGCTCTATTATCGACGTTCTTTATATCTACGCGTTGGTATTTACGAGTACTACAACATTCATTTAGATCCCGTCGGCTAAAAATCGACCGATCTAAAATTCAGATTTCGGGCTGTGCACTGCTATGCTAAATCTTAGAAAAATCATAACTTCCTTACGAAGTCAGATTTGGGCGTTCTTTTTATGATGTTCTTAGTTTAACATATTCTACGACTTTCGTTTAGAGCGCTAAGGCTAAATCCGCTCTATCGTAAATTCACTATTTACGCTTCCCGGGATCGTGCCGGTTCTGTCGCGAAACTTCGACGGGTCATAACTTCTTCGTTATAACTCGGATTTCGGCGTTCTTTATATGTGCGGAAACCTTGTGACATATAATATACTTGGTTAAATTATTTATTCTAGATAATCTTTTGCCAAAAAGTCGTTTTCGACCCATATTGCTCTAAATTGACTAGCCCGGA